GACCACATCCCGGGCCGAGGTGTGTCGACCATCCCGGGGCGGGAGTGTGTCGACCACATCCCAGGGCGAGGAGTGTGTCGACCACATCCCGGGGCGAGGTGTGTCGACCACCCCGGGGCGAGGTGTGTCGACCACATCCCGGGGCGAGTGTGTCGACCACATCCCCGGGGCGAGTGTGTCGACCGCCACATCCCCGGGCCGAGGAGTGTCGACCACATCCCGGGGCGAGGAGTGTGTCGACCACATCCCCGGGCCGAGGAGTGTGTCGACCACATCCCCGGGCGAGGTGTGTCGACCACATCCCCGGGCCGAGGTGTGTCGACCACATCCCCGGGGCGAGGAGTGTGTCGACCCATCCCGGGCCGAGGTGTGTCGACCACATCCACGGGGCGAGGTGTGTCGACCACATCCCGGGGCGAGGGTGTGTCGACCACATCCCCAGGCCGAAGTGTCGACCACATCCCGGGGCGAGGTGTGTCGACCACATCCCCGGGCAGTGTGTCGACCACATCCCAGGCCGAGTGTGTCGACCACATCCCGGGGCGAGGAGTGTCGACCACATCCCCGGCCGAGGAGTGTCGACATCCCGCGAGTGTGTCGACCCATCCCCGGGCGAGGTGTGTCGACCACATCCCGGGGCGAGGAGTGTGTCGACCACATCCCGGGGCGAGGTGTGTCGACCACATCCCGGGCGAGTGTCGACCACATCCCCGGGCGAGGTGTGTCGACCACATCCCGGGGCGAAGTGTGTCGACCACATCCCGGGGCGAGGTGTGTCGACCACATCGAGGCGAGTGTGTCGACCACATCCCGGGGCGAGGAGTGCGTCTTTTGTTGGTGTGAGAGGGGGAGGTAGTCCTTGGGTGGGTTTCGTTAATTAGCTAAGCTGATGATAATATTGGAGTACTGTGGATTAACCACCTCCTGTAATCCTATATTTTGAGCAAAAAGTTGGAGGATATTCTACAATCTGGGTAGTTATTTCGCAGGCCTTAGCGGGTTTGTTTACAGATGTGGATGTTCTCCGCCCATGGCCACACATGCACACACACAACAACAAGGCCGAGTGTCAGTTCATTCATGACCAGACTTGACCAACACTGGGACAAGTACAGATACATCCTGGTGCCAGTATACTCGTATGCCCGGTGCGTGTATACTGACCACCCAAGGGGCCAACACGACGATCAGTGACGAAAAGAATAACTTAATGTATAAAGCTAATGTTGAGTGAGGGATGCTTATCGGTGGCAGCGTAATTACTAGTTGAGTAATTAATGAGAAAGATAATAATAAGTATAAATTGGCATAGTTACAGTATACTAGTCACAATATTACCCTCTTATGTACCACCTTGACCTTCCCAGCAATCACAAATGCATCTTAATAATCCATTAATCCCAATTGAGTACATACTTAAGGCGATATTGGACTCTGGTATAATTAGTACAAAACCTTAAAAAATATACGAACTACCCCTTTGAGGCGTAGATCATTTTCTGTAAAATAAAATAATAGAAAACGAAGATACTACATGGGTAACTACTTTGAGAGATATAATTTTGGTTGTTATATAGCTGTAATATAAATCCTAAGATATTGTGTAATAGTTACCCGGGTAAGTTATGAGGAAACAGCTACCACCAGAAAACGTTTGTGGAATTCCTTTGTTCTTTTACTTACAAAGCTGCTTTCCTTGGTACCAGATATCAAAATAAATACTTTGTTTAATATGGCGGGGTTCGGTAGGGTTAGGTAGTTTTCTTTGGTTGGTTAGGTCAGGTTCCAGTAAATTTAGCCTATTTTAAATTACTTATAATAATAATAACATCTTTTAACAAAAGGAAGGAAATCAAACAACTCCTTCTCGTGGTAGTGTTGTGCTCATACATCAGCGATACCCGTACTAATGTCCGCAGTGCAAACAGTCTCTTGGCTTTAGTAAATTAAAACAAATGGGTTTCCTTGTGATACTAAATATATCTAATACACAAGAAATTAGTCAGAGATTTCCATTATTCAAGCCGTCAGTTATGATTGACACAGGTAGAGGTGGTGTAAGGCAACGCTCTTGGGACAACCACTATCTTTCCCCCTCCCCATTCTGCGCACATACACACACACACACGCAAGCGCACATACACACACATACATTCCTTATATATTTATTGACATTAATGTAAGAAATGGAGGGTGTGGAGACGTCGTGGAAGGGTGATGTAAAAAGCACCAATTCTTAGGTATGACGCGAGGAGCGAACAACCAAGGGCATACATCCAAGATTTGTTCGAAAATATTCATACCATTTTAGAAGTTAATATGAATGGACAATATCTAAATAACCCCACGCTTGTAGATAACTTCCAGGTACTTAGTGAATCGTGAGACAAACGAAGGCAGATGACACAATAGCTACTTAGAGTTTGTAAGTGAAACAGCTCTTGTTAATTGTGGTAAAACAAGGGTAACATGTTGGGAAATGTTCACTCCTTCCTAAATTTAGAAGAACTCTCACGTTATGTCAACCGTAGTTACACCCCCATTAGTTCGTTATTTAAACAGTAGTTGCAGTCACTTGTTATCAAAGCCGTAGTTACACTCACCTGCACCTGAGCCGTAGTTACACCCAGTTCTTATCAAAGCCGTACTTACAGCCACTTATCAAAGCCGTAGTTGCACTCAGTTGTTATCAAAGCCGTACTTATAGCCACTTATCAAAGCCGTAGCTGCACTCAGTTGTTATCAAAGCCGTAGCTGCACTCAGTTGTTATCAAAGCCGTAGCTGCACTCAGTTGTTATCAAAGCCGTAGCTGCACTCAGTTGTTATCAAAGCCGTAGCTGCACTCAGTTGTTATCAAAGCCGTAGTTATAGCCACTTATCAAAACCGTAATTATGGCCACTTGTTATCAAAGCCGTAGTTACATTCACAGTCATAGTTACACTCATAACCGTAGTTACATTCCCAGCCGTAGTTACATTCACAGCCATAGTTACACTCCCAGCCGTAGTTACACTCCCAGCCATAGTTACACTCCCAGCCGTAGTTACAGTCACTGGTTATCAAAGCCGTAGTTACACTCCCAGCCGTAGTTACACTCCCAGCCGTACTCCCTCGACCTCACCTCACCTCGACACTCTCAGGCTTCTCACTGCACCAAACCTCACCCATACGTCACACAGCTGACTAGCCAATCAGAGGAGTGAAACACGTCGAATTATCTTGAATGTTAGTTAAGCAATTTACATCATTCACTTTAGTAGTTACTTATCATTCCGTCTTTCTTTTATTAGTAACGTTGAGGAAAAAATGTTTGGCTATTCTAAACTAATTTCTTCATAACTTCTAAATGGTCAGTTCTTGGTCGAGTTAGTTTACCTGAACGAGCTAGGATACGCGAGGTAAACTGTATACCTGCAGTGTCTATGTGTATGTTTGACTATATACATGTACTGTACTTTATATTGTCTGTACGTATGTTGGACCAGTTATAAACGTGTATGGGGATCTATCTATCTATCTATCTGTCTATCTATCTGATATTCTTTACTTCACACAACTCAACACCTGTCCTCAGCACCTCGCGAGACTATCACACACACACTCACGTAACTATTGTATTTAATTACTTACACTGGTGATTACACTTAGTTATCAGTATTAAAAAAACAACAACAACCATTTATTATCATAAGTTTTTATTTAAATAATTTTGAATTAATATAACATTATTTACAGACATAAAAATCCAAACAATGTAAACAGAGAGTTGTAGCTCAGATATTTTTTTTTAAATCTTTGTTTAGTTGTTGAAGCGTAGTAACAACAACAACAACAACAGTAACAACAACAACAACAAGAGATTATCACTGTACACCAGAAACATTAAAAATAAAAGAAGAATTCTGTATCATTTTAGGAAAACAGAAGAATACCCACCAAGGAGATGTTATTATTGGTGTTAGTAATTTAACAGAAGGAGTACAACATTTACTGAGGATAAGTCTCTTAAAAATGGTTAACAGGTTTTACATTAACAAAACTAACATTGAATTCTATATGTAAAGCAAATAACTTTTATGCAAATAAATATTATGCAACGAGCATTTCTGTACCTGAACCCATATCATTAACTCACACACACCAAATACAGAGCCTATTTACAGGAGCATTTTGTAACGCCGACCAATGTCTCTGGTCTTCCGGTCTGTTTGTAATGGAAGATAAGAAATGGTCCTTTAGGTAATCTTAGTAAGCTTATGTTTCGTAGGACAATATTAAGACTGTGTCTATGCATACGTCATTGTCTGAGTATAATTTGACAATCATTAATGTGCTTAGGTGTACAACCCGTTTTTATTATCTGAACACATAATACGGAGAGCTGTGAGAATAAACAATTGAAATTGAATTGAAGCTGCAAAGGTGTGTTTGCATTGATCACCTGCTGTCGTGTGTGTGTGTTTTGTGTGTGTGTGTGTGTGTGTGTGTATGATCATCTGACTGACTGACTGAGGAGGTAGGAATGCTTACATCGTCTGATCATTAAAAAGACGTTTAAAAAATACAAATTGTGTCACCTTTTAACCTTTCAATAATCCGTATTCATTTACATAATTTACGAGGTATATAATAACATTCAAGTCTAGTAGTGGCTATGGAGATTTTTTTCCCATCTCCTGGAAGTGTCAGGTCTAAGGAAAAGTAACTTACGGCATTATCTGTAATATAAGGGAAGATTAACAACAATGTGAATGTTATATTTTGTTAATTAAACCATCCTCTTAAATAAGAAAACTCTTTTAAGTAGGTTATGTTTCAATATTATTTTGTTTTTAGTAATGTCGGGTTAATTAATTTCCAAAATTACTCTCGGTCATCTGGCTCGAATGTTTATGAAGTTCCAGTAACTAAGTCGTCTACAGCTCACTGCCCCCTCCCCCCCTCCAATGTTCCTTCCCCTTCCCCACATCCCTTCCTCTCCTGGCCCCCCCTCACAGAAAACTTACCCATCAGTTATCCTCCTTCAGGGAAAGTCATTGAAAAATCTAATAAGAGGATGGTAGACGAGGTAGTGAGCGTTCTCCGACCACAAGAAGTCCAGATGGTTGAAATCTTTCAGAGGAACCCGATGCAGGAGGGCCAACGAGGGCAGCTCCGACGCCGTCCGCAGCACATCCTGTAAACATAAACACTCGGTCACTCAGGCTCACGCTACTGACGAAAGAGGAACCACCTATTGCTTATCACATGACATAGGTAACTCAAAGATACATTACTGGTATCCTCGGTGATAATTCATTAGATGGTTTCAAAGTTCCCTTCATTATCCTATTGAAGTTTTCCCTTCCATACCTTCTTGTTTCCTCCCACACACACTCTTGTTTCCTCCCTCCCCACACACCCTCATGTTCCCTCCCACACCCTCTTGTTCCCCACACACTCTTGTTCCTCCCACACACCCTCATGTTTCCTCCCACACTCACACACTTGTTTCCTCCCCACACACCTCATGTTTCCCTCCCACACCCACCTCACACATGTTCCTCCCACACATCTTGTTCCCCCCACACCCCTGTTCCCTCCCCACACACCCCTTGTTCCCTCCCACACACACTCTTGTTCCCTCCCCACACCCTCTTGTTCCCCATCTCATGTTCTCCCACCCCTGTTCCCACACTCTTGTTCCCCCCACACACTCTGATAGGTTGTGGCGCATGTCTCACCAGAGCATCGACCACCCAGTCATTATCAGAATAGAAGAGACCGACAGGAACTTTGACGCGGTTGAGGAGAGGAGGCGGTAAAGGCGTCCCATACTTCTCCAGGTTCCTCTCCTCACCGTAGTCGAAGGCTTGGAACCTACCTGGAATGCCATAGGGTTTGGTTAAGTGAGAATGTCCGTAGGTATGTTTGGTTAAAGAGAAAAGTTATTATCTCCTGAAGACTTTACCTTTCCAATTCACTAGTTTATTTCACCTTAACCTAACCTAACCTACCCCCCCCAGAATTCATTTCCTAGATAATCTTCAGATGATGTCGAATGAGAGAATTAAAATTGTCGTTTCGTGTTTGTTATGTTATGCTATGTTAGATTAGGTTAGGTTAGATCAGCTCTTAAAAGATAGTATGGTACCTCACCTCCTATCACTCTTCACCTACAGTACATCACTATTTATGAACTCTTGTAGAATTGTCCCATATAGTTCTGTAGAAGTATTTAGATTATACCAAACTCGAACAACGTTTATGTAGAAAATATATGTGACAGATGTGTGAAAATATATAATATACCTAATTTTTGCTGTATGTGTAGAGACTCTATGAAAATTACAGGGTAAGTGGGTGTGGAACTGTATGGTAATAATGTAGGATAAATAATGAGATAATAAATGATGATAATGATAGTGATAATGGTGATGATGATTGATATAATAATAATAATAATAATAATAATAATAATATAGTCAGATTTAGTGGAGGTGGATTGGTGAGATAAAATTTAAAATCCAGAAACTCACGTGATCGATGCAATTGCAGGAGATGAGTGAAGACGTGTAGGCCAGTCCCTGTGGTGTATGAGAGAAGATCACTGGTAGGTATTCCTGTTGTAGAGAGAGAGTGAGGAAGAGGATTCTGTAAGTTCATATTATTGAACCCATTCTTTTCAGTTAACCCTGTTGTGTTGTGTGGTGGTGGCTGTTGTGGTTGTTGATGTTGTGGTGGTTGTTGGTGGGTGGGGTGGTGGTATTTGGGTTATTGGGTGGTGGTGGTTGTTGTTGATGTTGTGGTGGTGGTGGTTGTTGATGTTATAAGTGGTGTTTAGTTGTATTTAGGATGTTGTGGTGGTGGTTGTTGATGTTGTGGTGGTTGTTGTGGTTGTTGATGTTGTGGTGGGTTGTTGATGTTGTTGTTGTGGTGGTGGCTGTTGTTGTTGGTTATTGTTGTGATTGTTATTGTTGTTATTGTATTTTTTGTGGTTACTTTAATGGGTTAAGATGAGTGATACAAACTTTAATCCCCTGAACATAGTTGCAGCAGTGTATGTGGGGGATTAATTAAGAGGACAGGTAATAAACTCACCTGAAATATTTTGGTTATGGTTAGGTTAGGTGGAGAGAGGAGAGAGAGAGAGAGAGAGAGAGAGAGAGAGAGAGGGAGAGGAGAGAGAGAGAGGAGAGAGAGGGAGAGAGAGAGACATTCACACAGGTTGAGAGGTCTACCAGGGACTGAGGAGATCATCAAATTTCACCTTATCAACATAATTCTGTCTTCCTCAACAAAATAGTAGAGGAAGACAAAGTTAGTGATGGACTTAGAGCCACACACTTCAGACACAGTGGAGGAAGTTTCAGGATCTAGTCTTAACAGCTCAACGATTCCTCTCTTGGTCAACTCTCTCTGTAATGTATCGTCGAGTCAGTACTGGTGTTGGGTGGTATAAGTGTTTTGAATATTCATAATAGTCAAAGTTTTATAATAATATCGAAATCAATCTAATGCTAATGAGTAAAAAGCCCTTGCCAGTCCCAACCGAACCCAATGAACCGAACCAATCCCAACCGAACCGAACCCAACCGAACCTGTAACCAAACCGAACCTAACCGAAACCCAATCCACCCAACCAAACCAAACCCAACCAAACCTAATTCAACCAAACCTAACGAATCTAATCCCAACCTAATCCTGGGAAATCTAACCAAAACCAAACTAAACCCAATCAAACCTCCCAACCAAACCAAACCCAACAAAACCCCAAAACCCAACCAAACCCAATAACCAAACCCAAATCCAAACTAAACCAAACCCCAACCAAAAAACAACCACAAACCAAACCAAACCAATTAACCACTCAGCAAACCAAACCAAAATAACAAGCCCAGCCAAACCAACAAAAACCAACCAAACTCAATCCAAACCAAAACCAAACCAAAACCAAACCAAACCCAACCAAAACCCAACTCAACCAAACCGAAAACCAAACCCAACCAAACCCAACCAACCAAATCAAACCCAACCCAACCAAACCTATTCAAACCTAACCAAACCAAACCTAATCTAACCAAACCTAACCTAACCAAACCTAACCAAACCTAACCTAACCTAACCTAACCAAACCAAACCTAATCTAACCTAACCAAACCAAACCTAATCTAACCAAACCTAACCAAACCTAACCTAACCAAACCAAACCTAATCTAACCAAACCTAACCAAACCAAACCTAATCTAACCAAACCTAACCAAACCTAACCAAACCTAACCTAACCTAACCTCGCACACAAATATTATCCCACTAAGGAATACTATACTATACTTATTTTCCCCCTGATGTAAAGGCAGATGCAGGTGTAAATCCCATCCATATAACACCTGACTGTGAGCTTCAAGAACCACGATAAATTTACCTTCTAATTAACACCTGTAATTATCTTGACTCACCTGTTTATCATTGTTTGTATACCTGTAATATACCTGTCTTTATATCTGTACTGTACATGTTCAACCTCTTTGTTATTGTATTGCTTTTCCTATCTATCTATCTATCTATCTATCTATCTATCTATCTATCTATCTATCCAGTTTCTATATACTTACATCCAGTCTATCGATGAAAGGAGCCAAGAAGCCAATGGGACCTCTTTTGTGGTAGGTGTAAGATGATGGTGCCATTCCCGCTACCACTCGAATCTGCAAGGACAGTTAAGTGGAACCAGTTAAGTGGAACCAGTTAAGTGGAACAAGTTAAGCAGAATCAGTTAAGTGGAACCAGTCAAGTGGAACCTCAAAATACAGTTAAGTAATTAGTGAAGACGAACGGATGGAGTGAATGTTTGGAGGAGGGGTAAGGATGGATGATACCCGCCCCGCTCCGCCACCCCCCCAAAAAAATGAGTGGAGTGAGGAACAAATGGAGTGAGTGGTGTGAGTGGAGTGAGTGGTGTGAGTGGAGTGAGGGGAGTGAGTGACAAATAAATGGAGTGAGTAACATGAAAAACAAGTATAATGAAGACAAACGGACGACGAAGATAAAAATAATCAGCACAAAAGTAAGAAAGACCAACCCAGGAGTTAACATGAGGATGGTAATGCATGGCGGCGAAAAGCAGAGCACATCCCATCGAGTGGCCTACGTAGAAGACCTGCTCCACGTTGCTTGCCTGACGCACGTAGCTGAGCATTGCTGGCACGTCATAGAACGCCATCTCGTTCCAGCTGTGAGTGTGAACCAAGACGATATATATAAAGAGTGTTTGGGATTAATGATGAAATTGAAAATGTTAAGTTAAGTTGGTTTTATTGGCACCGTGGCAAGTTTAACCTGAAGTACGGGTATTTAGGGGGTAACCTACCTGTAATTAAGGGGCTATCTACCTCTGATTAAGGGCTACCTACCTCTAATTAAGGAGCTACTTACCTGTAATCCCAGAATTCAGGCTTCTCAGGTGAGAGAGTGACGTGCTGACGACCGTAATAGTTTCCTCTGTTGTTTCCCAGCCACACGTCGTAGCCAGCGTCAGCCATCATGAACCCTGCCGTCAGGAGATGTGTCAGTCCAGTGCTGATAACACACACACACACACACACACACACACACACACACACACAAGGGCCTCACCTAGCGCTTGGTCAGGGTCGTTCATGACGAAGTCGGCGCTGGACTCCATAATACCGTGCAAGAGGAAGACTACACGACGTCCTCTGCCACTTCTGCTGCTACTGCCATCACGACTGCCATAACTGCTACTGCCATCACGACTGCCATAACTGCTACTGCCATCACGACTGCCATAACTGCTACTGCCATCACGACTGCCATAACTGCTACTGCCATAACTGCTACTGCCATCACGACTGCCATCACCGCTACTGCCAGTGCTGAGGGGGGGAGGGGAGGTAAAATATTGAGAAACACATCCTTAATCAACATGTTTTTTTAATTCTAATGGTAGACCCTGCTGCCATATGTGACCAAGTCCCAGGTTGATGATCTCACTTTCTGCCTCATTTACACACAATTGCTGGGTCTCAATTGTTTCTCACTCTTGATCTTTTTTGCATTATTTATGGTTCTTTAATAATAATAATAATAATAATAATAATAATAATAATGATAATAATGATGATGATGATGATGATGATGGTGATGATGATGATGATGATGATTATTATTATTATTATTATATTTTCGCCCCCAGGCCCAGATGTGGGTCATTGACCTGTGCCAGGGTGGGTTAATGCCGTAAAAAAAGAAAGAAAAACTGTAGAAATTATCACCTTACTACAGTGACCACCTTACTACAGTGACGACCTTACTACAGTGACGACCTTACTACAGTGACGACCTTACTACAGTGACCAACTTACTACAGTGACCACCTTACTACAGTGACCAACTTACTACAGTGACCACCATACTACAGTGACCACCTTACTACAGTGACGACCTTACTACAGTAACCACCTTACTACAGTGATCACCTTACTACAGTGACCACCTTACTACAGTGACCACCTTACTACAGTGACCAACTCACTACAGTGACCACCTTACTACAGTGAACCACCTTACTACAGTGACCACTACTACAGTGACCACCTTACTACAGTGACCACCTTACTACAGTGACCACCTTACTACAGTGACCACCTACTACAGTGACCACCTTACTACAGTGACCACCTACTACCAGTGAACCAACTACAGTGACCAACTTACTACAGTGACCACCTTACTACAGTGACCACCTTACTACAGTGACCACCTTACTACAGTGACCACCTCACTACAGTGACCACCTTACTACAGTGACCACCTTAATAACCGAAGCCATTGGAAAGTCACAAACCCTAACCCGAAGACAAGACTCTTCAAGGATACAAACAACTTTACCGTCATTACTTATACTGTATTACGTCACATGCTGATAGGAATACATATAATACACTAAGTAACAGCAAGACTCTAAGATAAGCTGACTGTACTCAAGCTGATTATTCTTGGGGTAAGTTTTAATTCTCCCGAAAGACTAAAAAATGTTGCTTGTAGTATCTATTCATCTTACATATCATTATATTCATTATTTTTTTTTATTCATAACTCATAAGAAATTAGTAATGTAAAATGTTTACTAAATATATAAGATAAGACTTAAGCGGTAACATCATAAGGCGGCTACAGTATTATTCTCACCGGTAGATATTATGATTCAAGAGGAGCAAACACCTCAAGATACTGACCGAAGCAACAAGGTCATATATAGTTGACCTCAAAGGGTGACAACACACAACCTGACCTCAACTATACTTAGGTCATCCTAAAACTATATCTTGCGCTTGTCAGACCTCATTTGGATTACACAGTTCAGTTCTGGTGATCATACCACAAAATGGGTATAGAATCTCTACAAAGCATACATGGAAGTCAGGGCTAAACAAAGGTGATATAACAAAGGTACTCAAACTATACAACCAGGAGCGAACTCGTAACAATGGTTTTAAATTAGACAAATTTAGATCTAGTCGCGAAATAGGTAAACATTGGTTTGGAAATAGAGTAGTGGATGAATGGAACAAGTTACCAAACATCATCATTAACTCTAATACGCTGGATAGTTTCAAACATAGGTTGGATGGATATATGAGCGATAGGGGTTGGGTGTAAACGGGGTCAATAGGCCTGGTGCAGTTTCCTTCATTATTATGTTAGTTTACAATGAGGTGCATCGCCCCCCCACCTCTACCCCAAGTTACTTCACCCAAAAATTTACCGCCAAACCTTTATCTGGATGGAGGAAAGTTAGGTCAGGTTATGCTTCGTTATTCCCCTTTTGCTTAGAACTTTAGATGAACAATATTTTGGTAGTCAGTGGGCTAAGAACATAAGAACATAAGAATGGAGGAAACTGCAGCGGGCCTATTCACCCATACTAGGCAGTCCCGTTTACACCCAACCCCTATCGCTCATATATCCATCCAACCTATGTTTGAAGCTATCCAGCGTGTTCAAGTTAATGATGATGTTTGGTAACTTGTTCCATTCATCCACTACTCTATTTCCAAACCAATGTTTACCTATCTCGCACCTAAATCTAAATTGATCTAATTTAAAACCATTGCTAAGAGTTCGCTCATGGTTGGATAGTTTGAGTACCTTTGTTATATCACCTTTGTTTAGCCCTGACTTCCATTTATACACCTCTATCATATCGCCCCTCGCTCTACGTCTCTCGAGGGAGTGCAAATTAAGATGCTTTAACCTGTCTCTGTACTCAAGGTTCCTAATACCCGGGATTAGTCTTGTCATTCTCCCTCATGTATGCTTTCTAGCCTAACCTAGCTTTATGTAACACTGACCTAACCTAACAACCCCCAGAGTTAACGTAACTTGTTGGGAGATATTATTCAGGTGAACTGAGAAATACTCATTAACCTACCTACCTCCAGCCGTGACGACACTCAGGTTACCCTTCTCTCCTCCAGCCCACCACCCTTTTCTCTCTCTCTTTGTCTGAGCGTGCGGGCTGGTATGGGCGTAGTGGGCGGCGTGGGCGTGCGGACTGGTATAGGCGTGGTGGGCGGTGTGGGCGTCCGGGCTGGTGTGGACGTGGTGGGTGGTGTGGGCGTGGTGGGTGGTGTGGGCGCGGCCATGCGGTATGCGGTGCATCTCTATGATGTAACCTTCTGGAGTGATGACGCGATGTACCTCGGCTGGATACCCTCGAGCCTGGATCAACTGCGCCTGTACGGTACACAAGAGGTCAGGCCAGGTCAGGTCAAGACGGTGTTATAAGAACATAAGAACATAAGGAGTCTGCAATAGGTCGGTTGGCCTGTGCATGGCAGCTCCTGTCGAGAGTTACTACCACTCTCTATCATCCATGAATCTATCTAGCCTCCTTTTAAAACTTTCCAGCGTTCCAGCACTTACTATAAAGTTGCTAAGCTTGTTCCACTCATCCACCACCGTATTTGTGAACCAGTTTCTTCCTATCTCCCTCCTAAACCTAAACTTATCCAACTTAAATCCGTTGCTCCGAGTCCTATCCTGCTCGGATATTATAGGAACTTTATCTATATCGCCTTTATTGATTCCTTTCACCCACTTAAATACTTCTATCATATCTCCCTGCACTCTTCGTCTTTCTAGGGAATGCAAGTGTAGTTTCTTTAACCTATCTTGATATGGAAGGTTTCTAAGTCCTTGAATCATTTTCGTCATTCTTCGCTGCACCGACTCCAATGAATTATACTAAACGTCATCTAACGTGATAGCAAATAATAATCAAATCTACTAATGATACATACAAAAAGTCAATTTATAAATATCACCTGGAGATTAGGCACCCTAACTTATTTCACCTGATAATTAAACAATTTAACGCTACCTGGCATGGTTAGGTTAGGTAACATTATATCATGTTACTTTAGGTTAAATTGTGTTACATAAGAACATAAGAATGAAGGAAACTACAGTAGGCCTATTGGTCCATACTAGACAGTCCCGTTTACACCCAACCCCTATCGCTCATGTATCCGTCGAACCTATGTTTGAAGCTATCCAGTGTATTCAAGTTAATGGTGATGTTTGGTAACTTGTTCCACTCATCCACTACTCTATTTCCAAACCAATGTTTACCTATCTCGTGCCTAGATCTAAATTTGTCTCATTTAAGACCATTTTTACGAGTTCGCTCCTGGTTGGATAGTTTGAGTACCTTTGTTATATCACCTTTGTTTAGTCCTGACTTCCATTTATACACCTCTATCATATCGCCCCTCACTCTACGTCTCTCGAGGGGGTACAAACTAAGATGATTTAACCTGTCTCTGTACTCAAGGTTCCTGATGCCCGGGATTAGTCTTGTCATTCTCCTCTGAATTCTTTCTAGGGATTCTGTATCCATTCTGTAGTACGGTGACCAGAACTGAACAGCTTAATCCAAGTGAGGTCTCACAAGCACCAGATATACTGTCGTTTTAAGATGGTCTCGCAAGTCTTGAAACTAACACTCATTTGTTTGAACCCAAGTACTTTATTAGCCTTGTTTCGAGCAAATACACATTGTATACAAGCCGTCAGTTACGATTGGCACGCTCCTACTCAAAGAAAGAATGCCTTCAGCAATGTGCCTGCGAGTGCCACCACTACAGCTTAAAGCTCAGCTGTTATTTAAAAAAGCAGGACGAACATATTATTATTATTATTATTATTATTATTATTATTATTATTATTATTATTATTATTATTATTATTATTATTATTATTATTATTATTATTATTATTATTATTATTATTATTATTATTATTATTATTATTATTATTATTATTATTATTATTATTATTATTATTATTATTATTATTATTATTATTATTATTATTATTATTATTATTGTAATTCTGGGCGATGACGAATTAACAATTAAATAGTTTTAGTTTACCATTAAATCGTCCCAACTCTCTTTCACGGTGTCTGGGAGACTGACATAAAAACATCAACTCACATTTTACGTTTAATCTTCGTATGATTCCCAGTATGAGCTAATAGGCCCGCTGTAGTTTCCTCCATTCTTATGTTCTTAAAATCGAGGTAAAGCATCTCGTAATCGTTGTCCGTCATCCACTGCTTCGAAAACAGTTGAAAATAATGCTCATAGATTTTCATACATGAACGCCCACTTGTTAAGCCATGTTGGGAATCACTGACACAACTTGTGCTTCTCCAGGTGATTTCGAATAGAGTTTGAAACTACTACTTCTAGCAATTTGCCTGCAATTGATGTTAAACTGAGTGGACGTTAGTTAGAGGATAGTGATCCATCTCCCTTCTTGTAAATCGGTATAACATTCGCTATCCTCCAGGATTAAGTTCTTCCTTGCATTCCTTTAATTAGGTTATGTTACATTGTGTCACTCTAGCTTAGGTTAGGTTAGGTTAGGACGCTTTACTCCCTCCCTCCCCGAGTTCTACTTACCGTGGTGAGATGTGTGTGAGGATGTACTCCAGACGTCCTTCTGTGGCGGGAGTGAGGAGGCAGTGGCGGAGGGGCGGCTGAGTCCTTTTCCCTCCCTGGCAGCATCACCGTCGCCACCGCCGCCACCGCTGCCACAGCCGCCACCGTAAACAGCACATATCCTAAACACCGGAACATCCTCCCTGGGGCGGCTTTATCCTCACTGCGAAAAGAAATGAGTAGATTGAGAGGAGCTTGGAGGATTATGGCTTACTGAGAGAGAGAGAGAGAGAGAGAGAGAGAGAGAGAGAGAGAGAGAGAGAGGTACTCCTACAGTCCTTCTCTTGTAACAATAAACATTAGTTACACCACAGTTTCATCACTTGTTGCTGGGAGGCAGAGCATGACAAACACTTTATAACAGATACTACTGTATGCTAGACTGTACCGACCACGAACTATGACACAACACTCACACAAGGAAACGAAATAACCCGGTGGTCATCGTCAAGTGGGTGTCAGGATGTAAACGTACAGTCCCCTTCACTAGTGCCTTTACAGGGGCTCGCCATATAAACGTTCCACAAATCATTATCATTGAAATATTTGTTTTGATATTGTTTTACTTTGATTCCAGTGTTTCTCAAAGTCCCACAACGCATTCCTCCCTTAGCGATCCCAGGCTCTTCCAAATAAGAACATAAGAACATAAGAAAATAAGGAGTCTGCAATAGGCCGGTTGGCCTGTGCATGGCAGCTCCTGTCGAGAGTTACTACCACTCTCTATCATCCATGAATCTATCTAGCCTCCTTTTAAGACTTTCCAGCGTTCCAGCACTTACTACAAAGTTGCTAAGCTTGTTCCACTCATCCACCACCGTATTTGTGAACCAGTTCCTTCCTATCTCCCTCCTAAACCTAAACTTATCCAACTTAAATCCGTTGCTACAAGTCCTATCCTATCCAAGTTTAGTTTCTTTAACCTATCTTGATATGGTAGGTTTCTAAGTCCCGGAATCAATTTCGTCATTCTTCGCTGCACCGACTCCAGTGAATTGATATCCCTTCCATAATAAGGGCACCAAAACTGAACCGCATAATCGAGGTGAGGCCTGACTAGCGCAAGATATAGTTGCAATAAGACCTCTGCACTCTTATTACTTACACTTCTAGATATAAAACCTAAAGAAATCCTCCTCGTCCTTAAATCAACATGAGAGAATAAATTATTTACATCATTGGTTATACCGTATTTTATTTTTACAATAGTAATTATTGAAATAGAGTTAGTCTACAAAACATAACAATTATTGTCTAAAGGTGATTATTTGACCAAAAAATTCAATAAGAAAAAACAACAACTTTGATTTCAGAATTGTAACTATTATAATCAGACTTCTATTCGAATTGTACAACATTAATGAGAACCTTGAGCCTCGTGCTGAGAAACTAAATGAGAAAATCAAGGAACAAATCAAGTCAATTTTGCTCGAAGATCGTGGCGCCCCGCTCACGAATGTTGATACGTTCTCTTTTTTTCCTCAAAATATTCGTAACAACACTGAAGACACATTAAACCAAGTATGTGGTCGCAAATGGCATAAGTACTTGCTGGGCTTCCATAGCTAATTGTTTATATTTGACACTGACTTGGGGGATCCAGCCACATCAGTTGTTTTTTTGAGGCATGGATCAGTTTCACGCTGTAATCGTTTTGTAAGTCCATCAACTCGTCGATCTGATGAGCGTCCATAGCCAGACACTCATTATTTTAGCAGTTAAAAAGAAATGGTTGAATAATCCAAGAGGGAAAGTTCAATTGTTTCAGATCGGTAAATCTGTCATTCAACTCAACATGCAGGTTGGAAAGATGTTCAGAGATGATCCGGATTTGCCGAGTTGCGTGAACTGGGACAGATTATTCTTTAAGATCTGGGCCCTCCAAAAGTTCAGTTTGTTTATAAAACCACAGATTTTGGTTTTGCAGTCCATGAGATTTTTTTTCACCCTGTAGTTCCTTATTTAAAGCGCCCACCAGACATCAGCTAAGTGTAGTTGACCTGGTACTCACTAGATGGTAGCAAACAGCGTCTGGCGCGGTTTTCAAGGACGGAGAACTATACACAATCCTCCCCAATTCTTCCCCTTGGACTTGTGATGTTGCCGTCCACACCTTCCCTGGTCGTAAATCCACCCAACTGCGGTATATGCTCAAACTTAACTGCCTTGAGCAGATTGGTGATGTCGCCTCTTCTCTCACCACCTCCCTCCCTCATATCCTCGTCTACTGTGATGGGTCTGTCACCAAGCTGAGCTGCGCTGGGCAGCTGTGTGGATTCCTGAGCGCTAGGCCTGCAAGAAAATCAGGGTCCACGACTGGGCCTCCTCCACTGACACTGAAAGCATAGCCATCCTCGCGGGCATTCATGAGGGGGCGACCTATGCTCGCACTGAACGCCGGAACCTCCTTAAAATCAGTGACAGCACTTCTGCGTTAGCGAGGCTAAAATTGCCCTCCCCCTCCTCCCCTGCCGTACAACACACCCTAGCCGCCGTCGCCAGGCTAGAACAAACTGATGACATCCGTGTCAAGTTTATTTAGATCCCGTCACATATAGGAATAACTGCCTGTGACACTGTTGATCGACTTGCCAAAGAAGCGACACAAGAAGAAGATATTGAAGCCACCCTCGCCCTCTCCCTGAATCATCTCAAATCTCGCATACACGCCACACAACGAGAAGTATTCGACGTAAAATGGACACACCTGAAACAACGGGGCAGCGTCACACTATGCCACTGATGCTGTAACCGGTGACTCCAACCGCCACTGCAAAGAGTATCAATCTCTGACTCGATATCAACAGATTATGTACATGAGACTGCGCCTAGGGTACAGGTACTTATGGGAGTACATTGGCAACCCTGAGCCTGGCCGCACTGTTTGTAAACTTTGTGGCCAACCCGACTCTCACACCCTCTCTCACTACATCCTCACTTGCCCTATAACCTCCTCCTACAGGTCCCCAGCCGTTACCAACACCTCTTCCCTCCCTGACCAGATATCCCTCCTCCTAGTCACAGGCCTGGCACTTGATATTATTAGGGACCTGCCACGCTTTGCCATAAACAGATGAAATGTACCGGGAATTTTCCCCCCCACACACTCATCATTCTGTCACTTTGTGTAACTTGCTGACAAAACCTATGACCCTTCAGGCTTCCACGCCCTTAATGCATCAGTCATAAAGGCAAGCATGAACTTAGCATGCTTCCCAGTTGGGCACTGTAAACGCTTCTGCGCTTCACCTTGCACAGGATGTAAGGGGGTGCCCAATAAACTAGCCCCCTCCGGGTCAATCTGTAAAATCTGTAACATATCCTGATTGGCCAAAACGTAAACTTTATCTAAATTACCCTACTGACATTAATTCCACTAATCTAACCTATATACAAACATAATACAATAAATACACAATGTAATAAAACAAATTTAATACATAAACGATGACTCAGTCAGTGTGGGCGAGTCATGAGCGACACTGCTCGAGCCAACCACACACCATCCGTACCAACGTATTTCATACCCAGAACAGAAAGTTATGGCTGACACTCATAACACCCAGCCTGACCTCGCTCGAGGAAAGTTTACGGCAAATTTGCTCCTGGGTTTAACCAGACAGTTTACCGTGTCTAGTGCTGGCTGGGAACATCTCTGTGCCTCTCTGAAGGCTGAGCTTGAGAAGGTTAGGGACTAAACTGTGAGGTTGAAGGAAGTGGCTGAGAGGCTGAAGGAGGAGCGAGTGTGAATGACGATGACACAAACCAGTGGACGGTAATGAAGAGAGGGGCGACAGGGCTGGTGGTGAGGAAGGCATAAATAGCAGCTAAGTGTTCAAACTCTTTTAGTTCTTTGGAGGACGAAATGGATGGTAAGACAGTTAAGGACAAGGCTGACAAGGAAGGTTAAGAAAATCTTAATTGTTGGTGATTCGCAGGTAAGGTACCTGGATCGAGCCTTTGGTAATAAGGACAGAAATGGGAGGATGAGAGTGTGTTTGCCAGGAGCTGGGGTGGGGGATATAGTTGACAGGATGGACAATATCTTGTCTGGTAATGGGAACAAACCCATTATCTGCCTTAGTGCAGGAGGCAATGATATTGGCCGGTGTAGGAGTGAGGAGCTTCTTGATAGGTTCAAGGTAGCTATAGAACATATTAGGTCGAAGGGGGGGGGGATCCCTATCATATGCGGTGTCCTGCCTAGAAGGTGAGTTGGCAATGAATAGTTGTCAAGGGCTGTTGGTGTCAACGGCCGTCTTGACAGATATTTCAAGTCAACTGGGACAACTTATACGGCGGAAGGGACCTTTATGCTAGGGATGGGGTACATTTGTCTAGGGATGGGGTGGCAACAATGGCTGGCTCTCTCGAGGGGCAATTCAAAAGATGTCGAAGTCTTTAAACTGCTAGGGGAACGTGAAAGCATGAGGGTCGAGGAGACTGCAGTGGGCATGGGTAGACAAAGCGAAATTTTACAGAGAAATCGTGTTAGGAATGATGACAAAACTAAATTAGTCAGAGTTAAACCCAAAATGCGACAAAGAAAAGATTCATATCACGACTAACTTAAATGTCTACTACGCGAACAGTAGGAGTACGAGAAATAAAATGATTGAAATCAGGGCGTTGGTATCTACTGAAAAAAATCGATATAATAGTATTCACAGAAACATGGATTAATTTAGACTCACGTGAGTTACAGGTCAAATATAAAATTAAATGTTATAAATTATTTCATACTGATAAGAAGATAAGAGAAATCTATATCAGGGAAAATTTGAAGTGTGGAATCAATAAGGAAGTTAGAACTGAACTGAATGAACTAGTCGTAATGTATATAGGACTGATCATATATATTATATTGGGTTAGAGTAGCGAAACCCAATTGTCTGTTTCTCCTTTTATTGAGGAACTGCTGTTGATACAATTCCAGAGTGAAAATCAACCGTAACTTAATCACTGTAGCTATGAGTGTTAAGAGAAGGACGGGCTATGTAAATAGACCGTTTAATCACGTCCTTCTTGGGTGAGAGATTGAGTAGTAATGCCTGCTTAAATGTGGCCAGAAAGGCCAGCAAGTAATGCCTTAACTCAGCATAATATGACGCGGTTTCCCATGGGCACGCCTTATCACGTGCTCTGAACATGTCACCTCATAGC